ATATTTTAGTAACATATATTAGGTGTTTAACGTTTATAAGAAAACAATATTAGTCACATGCAAAGTGAGCTGTACAGAGACTTAAACAAAATCATAGAAACTTACTATCATTTTCTGCTAGGTTGCCATTTGTGACATTTATTTGCTTATTATCTGAGAATAAAACATTAATGATTTATTATTAATTAAAAAACGATTATTAAAAAAGTAATTTAAAAAGATAAAATTAATTTCGAAAAGACGCCAGGAGATTATGACTGATGGAAAATATCTAGAAAAAAATTTATGACTGTCTACGGCATTTAAGCGAAATATTTATCGTAAATTCCACAAAACTAATTAAGAGTCTACAGAGTACGAATTTCATAAATATTTTGGCATATAATGTATTTATGACGCATTTTATTACGACTTATAAAAAGTCAAATAGAACAAAAAATTGTAATCATTTTCAATTTGTTATGGGCTTATGAATTTTATCTTATCAACTGGGGAAAAGTACAGATTACTTGCTTTATTGGAATTGAAATGACAAAACGAAATAAAAATAGACTTCGTACGGCTAGATCTACTAAAGGCTTTTCTACTCGTTTAGTAATTAATTTAGAGAAAGTGGGGAGTTGGTTGGTTGTCGTACAAGGAACGTGCTCTAGCAAATGAACTGCTACTATCATTTGATAATACCGAACCCGTGATAGAGCGCAAAGTACGCCAAAATTTCCTAATATTAATATTACTACAATTTTCTACGATTAACCTGACTTAGCACTTCAAAGAAATCTAATAACTGATTAAACTAGATTGTAAGGGTCTGATTACATTCTTATTTAATTCGCTTAAGTAAACTGAATTTTTCTATTTCATTAATTTGCTTAATCATTTTAATTATGATATTTACCATTATCTTCCTCCACATCGGATTCACTCTTTGGGAAATAGTATTCCAGTAAACGTTCAGCTAAGGCTGTTGTAGTATCAACACCAGTTACAGCCAAGCTACCATATTGTGTAGCCAAAACTTCATTAGCCTTTTGCCAAGCCAACTCCTTAAGAGAAGCTGCCTTCTGTTGTCCTGCCGCTTTGAATTTGACCACACGATCAATGTGTGGCTGGACAACATCGATCACTTTGCTCTTGGCTTGATTGTAGATCTCTTGTGGTGTGTCCTTGATAATTGGAGCCTTAACTTCCAATTTATCAATGCCTTTAACGAGAGTTTGATCCATGTATTGAATAGGACGATCAAGTTTTGAGACAATTGGTGCAGCTGTTGTCACGGCACGAGTAACGCAATCTTCAGCGGCGCTCAAAGCCCAGTTGAAAACTCGATTTTTCCCTGCAAGAAATAAATAATTTTAATTATTATTAAATAATATAAATTATAACAAAAATTAAATATTTATATAGCATAATTGAATATATACACTTATTAATAAAATAATCTAATAGTTTGTAAGCATACTTTTAACATTTAGATAAAAATATCGTATAACATATGAATGGTCAATAAATAAATCTAGTTTGTCTGTACGCTGAATGAAATAAAAAGATTGATAGGATAGGTTATAACAACATGGAAGTTAGGATTTACTGACTAGATTGTGTGACACACTAACTGTTCGGACAATAGCTGGCACTTCTTTTTTACTAGGAACAGTTTAGATAACACATAAAGATGATTAACTAGTGACATGCGATGGTAGTCAGTTAAAATGCACAGAGCTGCGTTATAGCATGACTAAATATTTAATTAAGAGTTTCTTGCAGAGCTGTGGAGCCCATACTGACGCAGTATAGCTGTACTTTCTTTTATATGACCAGTTGTATAACTTTACCTTTGCAGTAGGAAAACTTCAAAAAGTGTTTGATCTTACGTCTCTGGTTCACTTCGATTATAATGACAGAACAATGCTTTGGTTAAATATAACATTCGTTACATCTTGATTAGAAACTTTATCTAAATATGAATAGATCATGATCGGTGGAACATAATAAATTAATATATTACTACCATATACAGCGATTTGAAAGATCTATTATGATACCCATTCATAATATATATGATAATGTACTTTGATTCAAGTTTCTAAATTATTTTTAGTTTAAAGAAATTTAAACAACCGTTAAATACATTTCCTGACACCCGCAAAACCCTCTGTCGTCCTTCATGAAGTATACTTGCTAATTTCAGCTGTGGAAGTTTCCAAGCAAAATTGAATATATGGAAAAACCATAAAAATTTAATTTACCCTTAAGTACATTTTTTCTTTCCCCTCCTGAACATATATATATAGTTCTAGTACGTTGAACGAATTAATCATTATTTATACAACAATTTTATTATATCATTATCAACTCAACAAATGTATATTTTAAAAAGCTTATTTAATTTATTGTATATAATATCAGACACTTAAAACTTTTATTTTTAAACTTTAAATGGGTCAACAACAAATTTCAGTGAAATTAAATTCCCCTGCTTTGCTTTGTCGAAACCCCACCCCAATCAATTAAATGAAGCCAGAGAATATAGAGCCAGTGAAACATAAGTACAATTCAACGTAATTAAATCTAATCAGTCATTTGCAGTTCAATTGATAACTGACTGAAAAACATGAAATCAAATCAGTTTAGTTTACAGAGCGCGAATTTATTACTTCAACGGTTTTTTTTATATAAAAAATTAACAAATCAGCACCAAACAATGAAGTTTACAAAAACAAATTCATAAAAAGTGGCACATTAAACTGAACAACAAAAAGTCAATCTGCCTTCGCTCTTATCAAACCAAACCAAACCAAAACTCTAGAACGTTTTATATACCATATACCATAGTATCTATAGCACTTATATCAGTGCAGCACTGCAAACAAATAATTTAGGTGCATTCATTATTTCTTAGGTAGTATCTCAAATAATGAGATGCATATAGTGTCACTATTCACACACTAACGTCACTACCATACAATAGTAGATAGGATAACATGTCAAGGTTCTGGGCTCTCAGTAGAATGAAACACTCTGAACGTAGTAAATCCAACATGTGAAAGCCAGAATGCCTCTCTTAATAATAAGACTCAGCCCAGCAATCTATAGTAATGTTTTTTTACGAAAGGAGACCCCAACCGAACAACAAACATACAGCTTTAACAATATAGATTATAAAGTCTAGCGTTGAGGATTTTCTAATATCAGATGAAACTAGAAATTTCCGACCCAGTATTCCATAAACATCTTTTGTGGAATAAAACAACTGCCACTAAACAAATAGCAGTCTTTAGTACTGACAACTGACCCCAACCAAGCAAAAAACATGCAGATTTAAAAATGAAGATCGAAATATATTTATTTGAAGATTTCTTTATATCAGGCGAAGATTGGGATTTTGGGTCTAGTAATCGTTTGTTCTTACAACTTAAACAGAGAAAATTTCTTTAATCGAGCATTTCTTAAAAACAGATCAAGGATTTTTTAATATTAAAACAGGCTAGAATGTTTCTCATTGAGGATTTCCTAATATCAGACTGGAAGAGAACCTTACGGCCTAGTTATCTATAGTAACAAAAGACATTTTGTCTTAAAAATAAGGTGTAGGATTTATTTTGTTGAAGATTTTATAATATCAAACGTGGAAAGAAGTTTCCGGGTCCAGTATTCCATAAAAATCTTTTGTGGTAACTAAACCTAATCTAACAGATCAGGTTAGTAAATAATTAGGAAATAGATTAGAATGCATGCTCTCTCTGTTTAGGATTGCCTTATATAAGACGAGAATAGAAGTATTTGCCTCCTAGCCGGATAGTCACAAAAAAAGCGATTAGATTATTAGACGAGAATAGGAGCTTTAAGCAGAGTAATATTGAGGGTTTTCTAATATTATACGAGAATAGCCAGTCTAGTTTTCTTCTTCTAACCACAATCAAAGCTGAAGTCAGAAAAAAAAAAAATACGACTAAAAGTCTCCTTCACTATCAGCCACAGATGAAATGATATCTCCATAGACCCATCCAAATGTAAACACAGCTCAAACCTCTGTGAACATACCCAAGCTAAAAGAGAATTTACCATTCCTCTAAAAAAGATGTGACTACTACGTCTATGGCCAAACTATTCCGCATGTAATAGTTTCGATTTTATTGTCGAATGACGAGTTCTCACTTGACTTTTGTACGGTAGTACATAGAAGTTCTGGAAAAATACACGCTGTTATTATCTCTAAAATTGTTTTGGTGATTGTTTTTATTCGTTTATTGTTGGCACATAGCGCTACGTCGCAGCCGGCCGGCTCTGTAATTAAGCTCGTACGATATTTTGCATTAATCATTTGATGACTTTATTTGCAGTAAAATTTATATAAAATGTTATAAATAACAATTATTGTACTTGCAATTCGAGATAAATGAACAAATGTGGCTGGAGGAGGGAACGAAGGAGCAGCAGCGATAAGCTTGTATTTCAATATATTTGTATGTCAAGGAAAAGCAAAAAAAAATGTTAAGAGATTGTGATTAAAATGTTTGCAAAAATATTATTTATTTTATTTTATTTATAATAAAATAGAATAAAATTTGTAGCTACTTTAACAATCAAACTACTTAGTACAAAATATAATAGATACGAATTTATCTATCGATTCGAGTGGGAATAGAATGAAAACGTGGTCTTCGATAATGTCATGAAAATGTTTATATATTTTTATAAATGATTTTTTTATTATTATTATATTTATTTTGATGTTGTATTTTATTTTTATTTAATTTTAGAGTTTAGTTAATATTTGAATATAAATATAAAAATTTAAAGTTCTTGACACTAGAGTTAAAAATGCTGCTCTACCATCTTTTAAATATTATATTCTATATCTTTTCTATAATGTTCTATTCTATAATTTTATTATATTTTTCTCATTTTAAAACTATATTTTCTATAAGTATATTATGACATTTCCGATCGTATTTGTAGTTTTCTAAGTAAAATATACCTAGTCATATATTATATATAAATTCCACTACTTGTCAACATACACACTTCAATGGTTCGGTTTCGGTTTTCCGGTTAAATTACAGATTTAAGTAAAGTCAGCTATTCTGAACAACTGTTTCCTCTATATATAATACATGAGTTTCGCTTAGTTTTTGGGATATTGCATTTTAAACTTGGAAAGTTTTACATTGAAGCGATCAACAAATAAATAGATGCGCCATCTATCGCAAAACTATATTAAATTAAACTGTTCGAATTAGAAATTTTTATATAAAAAAATATATTAAATATACATATTTTTTTTAAATATAATATATTTTTGATATATTAATATATAATATATCTGAACAGAGCAGATATTACTCTGGTTTTTAATGTTGGTTTAAAATCGCTTTCTTTGTTAGAAAAAATATAATAAAAAAAAGGCAAAAAAATCGTTTTTTAATTCTTTATTCCTAAATATTAAGTAAACAATATTCATAAGCATCGAGAATTTCTTAAAGTCGTGCTTTCTTCCACTTGAGTACAAATTCCACTTGAACCGATAAGAATACTTGAGAAACAAACTTGAACCCAGAAAATTTAAAATAATTATTCAAGACAAATTTTTTTTTCATACTTGTAGTTTTCTTTATTCTCAAGAACTAAAATTAAAAATTAAAATAAATAAAATTAAGTCAATAACACAAAGTCTAACACTTTTATAAACAAATACGAAATTCAAAGAAGTCGAAAAAAAAATTTCCAATGAATTTGCGAAGCGCACCTCATTAAGCCAAGCCAAGCCAAACCAAACCCATCTTAATCTATGTATTTCGGTATGCAAAGTCGTAATTTTTTTAAAATTATCGAAGTTTTATGCAAATCGTATTGGCAATTTTTAATGAAGTTTGGACTTTGTACATTTCAAAACTTATAAAATATATAATTTAAAATATTTACTTTTCATTTTCCTCTTCAGCACTGAACTTGGACTATGTACGAGTACGAGGAGTACGAGTACGGGTATTTGCATTTAAACGGGTAAGTTTCTGAGAACGCTTCCCCATCGTCGTTTATTCATTGAATGTGATAATTAAATTCTTAATCGCTTTGTTAGTCATAATATGAATTAATTTTTTTATAAGAAAAATATTATAAATATTCAAAACAGATGTAAATTATATACAAAGTGTTTGTTAATACGTATACAATAATAACAACAACAAAAAATATAGTTAATTTAATTATATTTTACAGATGTTTTGTAAACTGTAATTTATTGCTAATGTAATATTTTGTATTTTTCATTAAAGTATATTTTTACATTTAATTATTATTACTTATTATTGTTATTGTTATTACCTATTGTGGTAATATTGCACGTAGATCTATTAGATGTGATAGAAGATTCTAAATATAGCACACAAAGTACGTTATTAACAAAACTACAAACTTGTTGAAATGTGATAATGACTACTACACACGATCACACTACAATCACTGGCTATAGTATCTGACTACTGTCGCTGTAGCCCAATTATATGGAATATAGTAGCTACCGATTGTAACTTAATCATGTGTAACAACATGGTAATCCGTTCACTCAGCTTCAGTTTTTACATTTTCAAGTACATTAGGTGAAGATTTCAGAAATAAAGTTAAGTAAATGCATAACCATAGTACTACACACAGTTAAATCACATCGCTAGGTACAATATTCCATTCAGTTAGAATACAAAGAGAGTCATCAACTACTGTATCTACAGACGTGTGTTAGACATTGCTCACTTACTTCTAACTAATTCATATCCTTACCCATGTATGTTTTAATTTAATTCATCTTTTCCGGAATATAGATCTCCTCGAGATACAAAAACAAAAACACAAAAAAAAAACCCCAACATTCTAAAACCAAAAGCGTTTGGGTCTACGTCTCTTTACAGACAACGAAATCCCACTTATCTATTAAAATAAAGTCATGACATCAATTCCAAGTTTTACTAAACAAGAAGAATGGACACCTCTGTTGAAATAGCCCAATACTCCTATTAAATAAACACTTACATTAAAAAAGCATATTTAATAAACGAACATCTATAGTGAACGTGCAACCCTATTGATTAAATATCCCTATTAAAAATCATCACTATTAAATGAAAACCTCTATTGAAGGAACTTCTATTGCACAAATATTTCTGTTAAGCAAGCACTCATATTGAATGAACAACCCTAGTGAACGCACAAATACTTTACGTAAACGAACACACTTACCTAACAGACACTATTCTTTGGTCCCTAATCCCTTTTAGTCGGGAACTCATCTTAAATAGACAACTTTTCTAAAGCAAATTATTATTTTTGCAAGAAATTTAATGCCTCTTGGGCAGATAGCCGTCTTCAATGGATAAATGTTAGCTGACGTTAAGTGTCCACCCAACAAAATTTTTACTGGTAGATTTAATAAAAATGGAACATATAAACAATATTTTATTTATGATTTTCCAAAAAAATAATAGGCATCCAACAAAAACAAATTAGTTCATATTAAATTTTTTTTTTATTATTACTAAAATTTTATTTTTAATTTGTTGATAATAATTAAGAAAATTAAATTTGAAAACATTCATATAACTAAGTTCCAATATATTTAAAAAAAATAAATAAACTATAAATCAATCAATATTTTTTTAATATGAAATTTAAACTTTATTAATTATTTAATTTTAGCCATAATTTTTTGATTTTTTTCTTAATTTTTCAACCGTGAAAATAATAACAGTTTCCTTTTTTTGATTATAAATAGTTTACGGATATTTATTGAACTTATATACTTACTGTATACTTAGCAATATCCTAAGTAAAGTTTATGGGCGACTTAGATCATGTACAGATCTCGATTTTAAATTAATATACTAACGTTTAATATAATAAGTAATTGCATTGCATATATATTTTATTATATTTAAATCTAATTCTTTATTTAGCCAAACTTAAATGCCATTAGGTGGTTTGAGAAGGATTCTCTCTTACGTACAGATCCTGCACTAAGTTTTAGAACATTTCATTTTCTATCATGCTATACCTAATACGACCCTGTGTTTTTTCTTTTATTTTTTTCTTTTTTTTTTCTTTTTTTTTTTCTTTTTTTTTCCTTTTTTTTTCTTTTT